GGCAGCTTGCGGATCAGCAGCTCGGTGGACTTCTGGTAGCGCCGGATCTCGCGCAGGGCCACCGTGCCGGGCCGGTAGCGGTGCGGCTTCTTGACGCCGCCGGTGGCCGGCGCGCTCTTGCGGGCCGCCTTGGTGGCCAGCTGCTTGCGCGGGGCCTTGCCGCCGGTCGACTTGCGGGCCGTCTGCTTCGTGCGAGCCATCTCGAAAGCGAGCTGAGAGTGTCTTCCCCGAAGCCGGTGAAAGGCAAACAGCCCTCCTGCTTTTATACAGCCAGACCAACACCCATTGGGCCCAAGAATATTCAAAAATTCCCGCGCTCTCCCCGGATTGGCCCAACCCCGTGAGGGGTGCCCGGATTAAGAGTTGCTTTCAGGTTGGTGAATGAATCCTAAACCCCGCCCTTCACTGTAGCTACTCTGACGTCATTTATTTACCCTTTCCCTTCTTATATCCACGGTGTACAAAAATCTTGCACCGAGAGCTTCAGGACATTTTGAAATGTACGGTAACGACGCAAAGCAACATAGGAATTTCCAATGGATCTTTTTTAAAAGAGAAATCCTCAAGATAATTTGCAGGTGTTTAGGGAAATAAACAAATTGGCTGCATCTAAAGTGAAATTCAAAATTTTCTTGGGTGTGGCACAAATATTAACTAGGAAAATGGTCTTTATTCGCAAGCATGAATTATCAAGGACCTGTAACTTACTCTCAATTGCTTCAGCAAATGTGCAACGTTTTCATCAACTTGGATCTAGGTGGAGAATGTGGGTATTCTTTATCGTAATCTTTGACATAAAATGTTAAAGAACTTAAGATCCCAGCGCCTTTCACTATTTTCATTTTCCAAAACGTGAAGCTGTCCTTGCGATAAACTTTCAAACTTGATCTGTAGAATATGGCCCTTTCTGCCTGACTAGAAAGTAGCCCATCTCACATGGCCAAACACGGTCAATAGTTAGCCAAGTACACTAAACCCACGTGTGGCTTTTACCTCAAAACTAGTATTACTGATTTTTTATAAGGGGGGTGGTAAAGCTTTCTGAGGGTTCATTGTGACATTTCACCTTTCGTTCTTAAACGCTCGTAATAGTTCAAAGCAAGACAGCTCTTTCAAAGGAAAAAGTGGGTGGCTCTTAAAAGAGCCTTTGCAAGTTGTTAGGTTAACTCTTAATTAGGAAAAAACCCATGTAAGAAAATACGGTCAGCATTTTACTTTCCCTTGGCCTTGTGGTGGCTCTCGGTCTTCTTGGGCAGCAGCACGGCCTGGATGTTGGGCAGGACGCCGCCCTGCGCGATGGTCACGCGGCCCAGCAGCTTGTTGAGCTCCTCGTCGTTGCGGATGGCCAGCTGCAGGTGGCGCGGGATGATGCGCGTCTTCTTGTTGTCGCGCGCCGCGTTGCCCGCCAGCTCCAGGATCTCGGCCGTCAGGTACTCCAGCACGGCAGCCAGGTAGACGGGCGCGCCGGCGCCGACCCGCTCCGAATAGTTGCCCTTGCGGAGCAGGCGGTGCACGCGGCCCACCGGGAACTGGAGGCCGGCCCGGGATGACCGAGTCTTGGCCTTGGCGCGGGCCTTACCGCCTTGTTTGCCGCGACCTGACATGGCTAACGGTGTAAAAAGCAAACGCCTCCGGAAGAAAACGCAAGCAGTATATAGCAAGAGCGAGCGCAAGAGAAGTATTTATACTAACGGGAGGTAGGCTCTTTGCAAGCCTCCCATTCGCTCTTTTCAAGTAACCAATGGGAAAGCAGAATCAGCATCCCTCATTTGCATACATGCCCTCCACCTAGCGGAAGGTTTTTTCATGCTCTAGTGTCATGAGGCCTGAAGAGCTTTTATTTTAATACTAATAAATGAGTCAATTTGGTTCTTTCAAATAATACTATTTCAAAATGCAGTCAGAAGCAGAAGTGATTGTTCTCATTGCTCTGTCTTTTGGCCGTTTTTCCTTTTCCAGGATTGTGACTGATTGTGGAAAGGAAGAAACAGAAAAATTGCTAAATAAATAACATTTAAAGAAGTCTGTCTATTCCAGCAGTTGCGTTAACGCTTTGAACCTTAAAACAGAAAAGAAAGAAAAGGAACAAAATGATTCTTCGGGGAAACCTGGCTGGCGCAGTGGGTTAAGCATGGGACTCGGTTTAGGCTCTGGACCTGATCTCAGGGTTGTGGGACTGAGCCCCAGGGAGCCCCAGCGTGGGCCTCTGCTCTTAGGGCGGAGTCGGTTTAAGATTCTCTCTCCCTCTGCCCTCCCCACCCCTCGCTTGCTTGCTCTCAAATAAATACATAAATCTTAAAATAATAATAATAATAATTCTTTGTCAGAGCCCAAATCTTAAATTATCTGAACAATGAAAACTGAAGGCAAGACCTGGACCATACAGCCCCTGACCTAGGACAACAAATTTTCTGCTTCAGACTTTATCTTACATATGAGGCCTTACGGGGACCACCCTCAAGGTATGTAGAGTACTGTGTTCACCTTAGAGACTGAAAAACTTAGAGACTGAGATTGTTTGTTTGACCTTGTGCAGGCTCACGCTGAGTTAATGAGACAAGGACTCCAAACTCCTGACTGGGAAAGCCATCATTCCCAGTGCCATTCCCAATTCTCCTGCCTTCTCTCTCTCTTTTCTCATTTGGCTACAACGCAAAGGATTCTAGTTGGTTCAGGAAATTTCTCCGTCATCAAGAGAGATTGCCAGGAGAAATGCCGTTTTGCCTTTTATAGTCTATGAGATAGAACTAAATGGGGCCCAGATGGAGGTGAATAATTATTTCAGGAATTTTTTCAGGCTCAAGCCTAAAGGTCTCCTGACTCCCAAACAGGATGGTAAAAGGAACAAGAGCCTATGTGTGAGAAAATCTACTCATAAGCCAACTCTGTCGGAGAACCATCCTTTGATCCAGGGAACCTGGCAGGAGAGTAAAGATGCTCATCTTCTGTTTCTTTTTTGCCTTCACTTAAGTCTTCTGCCTCTTTTGACTTTTTCTCTTAAGAATATTCAACCTCCTTTTTATTTTCATCGTTATCTTCACTATCAACAACACTGATAATAAACACTGGCTCAGTTTCTTTGCCAGACCCCAGATGGAGATATAAAAAGATATCTCAAATCCTGCCTTGAAGAATTGATACTCTTGAAAAGGGAAGAATTGTATATCTGAAGACTAAATAGTAGAGCATAATCTGCATCCCAAAAAGAAGGTTTAAATAATAAGTAATATAAGACCACATGGAGGAGAAGAGTAATCACTGTGGGTTAGAAGGGGAAGAGAGTGTGTGTGGGAGATGAGCATCCAGCATTCAGTCAACGTGTACTTACTGAATCCCTGCTACATGCCAGTGTTCCAGGTACATGGAATGCGGCAGTGAAAAAAGCAGATAACAACCTGTTCGTACCCTTGTGGTGAAGCTCTTCTAGTGTGGGGAAGCACACACAATAAGCTAAGTACATAGTAAAAGTGCACAGTGCATTTTTTGGTGATGAGTGGTTTGGACAAAAGGTAGGAAAAGGGCATAGATACAGGGATGGTCAGGGAAAGCGTCACCAAGACGGTATCATTTGAGCTCAAACCTGAAAGAGGGGAAGAAGTTAGCCAAACAAGAAGAATAAATGCTTCAATAAAAGGCCACATGCATCCAAAGCCAAGGGAACGTCAGAAGCTAAGGGCCAGAAGATAGAAGTGTTCTAATTTCCTGAATACACTGTAGGTCACTTTGGATGGAGCAGTGGGTATGTACAGAGCTAGGTAAAATAGAAGGCAAGATTAAGGCCTGTTTCAAAAACCCAGAATAGAAACTGGACTGCAGTCACAACATCACAAATCTATACTCCATTGAGTCACAGATGAAAATAAGTCTTCCCATTATCTAGGTCACTACGTCAGACAAATTGACAAACACTTGGCCTCTGCTATGAGTAGAACAACTTAATGAAATCCTATTAGCAAGTTTTCAAAATCAGCAAGATCTAGGCATTTGACTCTGAAGAATAATGTGGAGGGCAGATATTGGGGAGGAAGATGAGGGGGGTAAATTCTTCCATAAAAATATGAGAAGAGTAGCTGTCCCCAGTAACCCCTCTTCCGCCAGGAGCAGGACGCATATGGGTTTATATAAGCAATGAAAGAAAGTAAATATCTTTTCCTTGCTCAATCAAAAAAGTGTAATGTGACTTGAACTCACTTGAGAAAATCTAACTGGCCTTGAGGTTATTGTTGAAGGAGTCCAGAACATGCCCTCCCCAAATATGCTGCTCTGGTATATTGACTAGTTGGAGTTAAAGGACTTGCATAAGAACAGCTGCGAGGACAATCTCATTTTTTACCTTTTTTTCCTTAAAAGCAGGGGTTGAAATTCCCATGTGAAAGATGTCCTTCCTATACCAGAAAGAAAGAGTCATTCTTCTCACCATGGACGGGAAAATGAGGCTAAGAGAAATCTGTACAAACACTGCTAAACTAACCCTTAATCTTCCTAGTCTCTTCACCCAGTTACTACCCCAGCCCCAGCCCCTTTGCCTGTCATGTTGTCACACACCTGTTCTTTGTCTGACACAGTATATAAGCATTAAATTCTAACTGCTTCTTTGGATCTTCATTTTTCTTTCAAAAACTCCCATGTGCATGTAAACAAAAAGTAATAATTAAAACTTGTAGGTTTTTTCCCATTAATCTATGTCAGTTGAATTCTTAGACCCAGTTGGAGACCCTGTGAGTGTAGAGAGAAGTTGTTCCTCCCCTACAAGTAGAAGCATTTGGAAGAGTCTGGGTTTGAGTACATTCAAGCTGAAGAACTTGGCAATCTAGAAATGGCAAGGAGAGCAAACAAACAACAGCAACAATAAAGACACAAAACAAGAAAAACCTGGCATCTCTAGCCAAAAGACCAAGGGTCGACCTAGAAAGTAGAAAACTTAGGAAATAAGCACTGTACTCCAACGAAACACCATGGAAAAAATTGTGCATCTGCCTCCCCATCTCCCTAGGCATAAGGTTTCCACAGAGGCCACATGGGGATCCTGGACTTCACTTACTCAGCAATGGTGAGGCACTTCTCCCCTCTCAGCATGTGGGAATCATCCACCCAGGATTTTAAAGCAGCCATCATAAAAAATACTTCAGTGAGCAATTACAGACACACTTGAAACAAATGAAAGACTGGAAAACCTCTGGAAAAAAGATAAAAGATGTAAAGAAGAACCAAATTCAGATTTTAGAACTGAAAAAATACAACAACTGAAATAAAAAGCTCCATGGATGGGCTCAACAGCAGAATGGAGAAGACGGAGGGAAAAAAATCAGTGAATCTGAAGATAGAAAAATAGAAATTACCCAATTTGAACAACAGAGAGAGAATAGACTGGGGAGAAAAATCATCATCAGAGACACGTGGGACAATGACAAAAGACCTAACATTCATGTCTTTAGAGAATCAAAAGGAGAGGAGAAAAGAGAGTGGTATTGGAAAAGTATTTGGAGAAATAATGCCCAAGAATTCCTAAAATTGACAAAAGATGTAAACCTACAGATCTCAGAAGCTACACAAACCCCCAAGTAGAATAAACCCAAACACATTCTTGCCATAAGACACATCATAATCTAACCTATGCAAACTAAAAACTAAACAAAAAAAATCTTGAAAGCAGTGAAAGAAATAAAATCTACATAAAAGGGAAAAATCAATTCAAGTGGCAGCAGATTTCTCATCAGAAACCACATACCAAAAGGCAATGTCACATTTTTTAAGAGCTAAAAGAAGGGAACTGGTACTGTCACTCTGAATTTCATGTCCTTTAGGAATCGGTGGGGAAATAAAGACATTCTCAGATGAAGTAAAGTGGAATTTGTTGCTAGCATATCACTCCAGAGAAGAATGACAAAAGGAAGTTCTTGAAAAAGAGTGGAAATTATATAAGATCTTTGGAACATTAGGAAGGAAGAAAGTAAAGAAACAAATATGAGTAAATACAATTCTCTTGAGTTTTCTAAATTATGTTTAGAAGCTGAATTTCTTATATTATCTGACGTGGTTCTCGATGTATATAGAGGGAATATTTCAGATAATTATAAACAAGAGAGGGTAAAAAGATTTAAAAGGAGACAAGCTTTGTAAAGGTGAACTGGTAACATAGATACCAGTGGACCGTGATGTTATGTGTATGTAATATCTAGAGCAACCACTAAAAACTATCCAAAGACAACAGATGATTCAAATTCAAATTGCCTCAAGAAAATATTCAAGCAGCCCACAGGAAAGTCTGAATTAGAAAACAGAGAAACGAACAACAGTGAGGGAAAAATTAAAAACAAACCAAAAAACCCACCAGAAAACAAAAAGTAAAATGGCAAACTTAAGGCCTAACATGTATGGAAGAAAAATTTTTCCTAAACCCTTTTAGAGTCCCTGGCTGGGTGTGATAATTAAACTGACAAAGATAAACTAGCAGGAGAAAAGCGTACACATTTTACTGGAATTTTTACATGTACTTGGGAGCCTTCCTAAAAAAATGAAGGCCTAAAGAAGTGACCAAAGCAGGAAGCTTTTATAACTTTAGGCAACGAAGTAGATTTCTAAAGGACTGAAAAGACAAGGGGGTTTG